ACCTGAGTACTGTTGGTAGTCCACTCTGTCGTTTTCCAGCATAACTACTTTTTTGAGTGCCGGTATGTAGCCAAAAACTCGATTCAGACCAAAATTCGGATAACCGATTATCCAAACACTGTCTTTACTAAGCCTGGAGAAGATCAACACGACCGTCAATGTGGCCCACAAAGAGTCAGGAAAAGAAATCAACGCGCAATATGATGGTCGACAGAAAAGGTGTCGTCTGTGTAGAATACACTGTTCCACGGTGATTTATGACGTCAACGATGCATACGCAACTCACCGGAATTTGGTGCATCGTTTGTAACTGAGAATTCCATTCTTTTTTCAGCCAACAACGCGACCAAACTAGTGAAGGCGTGCCCCGGCGGAGTTTTGACAAGGATCGTCATATTGCTCATTTTGTTATCTGAAAAAAAAGAGTATTGCGTTTTGTTAAATTAGCCGAGTGAGAAGTTAACAGAGTTCATAACCGAAAAACCTGGACTAGAAAGGAATGCAATACTTTTACTTTTGACCCAATTTGATTAGTGTAAAAGATAAAAAAAGTTTTGTTAAATAACTTGCAGATTCTGTGTCACGAGGAGATTATGACGCCTGTTAATGTGGCACACAAACAGGCAGGAAAGAAATCAATACAAGGGTTAGTAAGGTAACTGAAAGACCTCCAGAAACACTAACTGCTAAAAGACACTATTGAAAACAACGAGATGCAGAGAGAGTGAGAGACACACACAAACGCTATGCACTCACAGAACCTCTATGCACTCAAAGAGACCTTTGTAACCTGAAAAACTAGAAGACACTAAAACACAGAATTCCTATAAAACACTATTTATTGAATCAACAATAAATCAACCTATTAAAGGTGAGTTAAAACAAATGGAGGCGTCACCAGTGTGAACGCACTCCCAAGCAAGAACTGAAGGGGAAACGATGAGAGAGACCACGAGGGGAGATGCCCAGAGAAAACAGAAAAGTGTCTGTTGGCGCGCACTTTAAATTCGCGCGGGTTACTGTGACCCACTTTCGTTTGCATGTATTTATCGGGGGAGATTTCTCTCCTGTAGACTTGGAAGAGGGTGAAGAAGATAAAAACCGGTAACCTACCGGACAGGTTGACCAATAAAAAGAGGGTCGACAAAAACGGTGTCGTCGTCGGTGTAGAATACACTGGTCCACGCTGCCGTGTTACGTCTGCAGTGCAGTCGCAATGAACAGAAATGAACAGAACACAGACAGAGTGTGAAGAAGGTATAAAGCGTTTGGAGTAAAATTAAAAGAGGTGTCTTCAGTGGACGCTGTGGACACGGTAAAGACGAAAACTGCACGGTGCGCACAGGACAGATGCCCTTCTCCACATTCAGGTGTTCCGATAGAAAACATTGGAACGGTGTGATGTCATCAGCTGGGATCTTATAGGAGGAAACAGTAGCCCTTCGAAGTTGAGATCTTGGGAAAGTTTTATTAAGTCCTGACGTTTCTCAAGTCATAAGTTCCTTTTTGTGTCATACGTTTCTTTTTGAACTCGCTTGAAAAGAAAACTAATTAATTATTTTCCCTTCATTTGACTGGAAATGTACATTTCCTGTAGTTCCGGTCACAGAATTTCCCACAGTACTCTGTTAGAAAACTATCCTGGAAATCACTGGGAAATTTCAAATGTCTCAACAACTGAGCGAATATTTCACCAATACTTTTTCGATGGAATTTTGGGTGATTTTGGAGCTTGAAGCGAATTTATTCTTTTTTTTCAAATTTTGACTAGTTCCTGTAGGTTTTTGAATCATAACGACATTTTAGAAGTTTCGCAAGAATCGGAAAATTCCAGCGATGGGCAAGCCGATAGGCAAACCGCAATGGACCTGCTTCACATTCTGACTGTGCTCTGTACATTTCTGTTAATTGCGTCCGCTCTGCTGACGTCATACATCTCCGTAGACCATTCTAAACAGAGAGAGAGACGACAGCAATGAGAAGGTCCACTGTCCCTTTAGTCTAGAGATCCGAAGGGGTGCGTGCACTGTTGCACACCTGCGTCTCCCCTGTACCCTCACATTATTGACCACACAACGTTTTATCACGTCCTCCTTGTCGTTTTCTCATTCTCACATATAAACAGCACAGACGTCAACCGTCTTCTTTCCTTACAATTTTTCGATTTTCCTTACAATTTATTGATTTTCGATGTCCTTTTGCTTTTCTACGAGTCAGGAAAATATTCCTAAATGTATATTTTCTGGAAAACGTAATAAACGTTTTTGATAGTTCTCATGGTCCGACGGCAAATTCTCTTATACAACCATCTCTTATACTACTTTTCTCTTATACTACCGAGTCTCTTTTACTACCACTGTCTCTTATACTACTTTTTTTCAAGGGGGTACAACTGACTCGGGGGTACAAAATTTGTAGGTACAAAAATTCGGGGGTGAAAACTACCAATGATTCTGGGGTACAACCCATTTCATACAGGGGTACTCTTGTGATTCGGGGGTACAATTTTTTGAAGGATTTTCTGAATTCCTGCATTTCAGAGCTTGAAAATCTCAGAATTCTTAGAATTTCAGAACTTTGGAATTTCAGTATTTCGGAATCTGAGAATTTCGGAACTTCAAAATTTCAGAATTTCAGGGCCTCAAAACATCAGAATTTCAGAACTTCAGAATCTCAATATTTCTGAATTTTCAAAAATTACGGCAGAAAATTTTCACTTCTCATTGTCTTTTGATTGTTCTTTTTGATTTTGTGTCATATATTTCACTCTTTATGAAGAAAATTTGTGGAAATTGTTGGGCATTGGCTGAAAGGCATTAGTTGTTTTGAATTTTTGAGTCTCGAAATTTCTAGAACGTACACAGTAAAGAACTGTAAAATAATCTTCAATTTTACAAACTCAGGATTTTAATGTTTAATTTAGGTCTTAAACCCCAGTCCATACTTCCCTCACTACCAATTTTTCTTAATTGTTTTTTCTCAATTCTATTTCATTTCCTTTTGCTTTCAATAATAATATTAATATATTTATTTGCAATGCATGGAGGGAAATCGATAGATAATTTGGCAAGAAATGGGACCTGTACAAATAAAAAAGTAAAATGACCAGACGGACCGACTAGAGTCCTGTAGGTCAAGTGGGAGGGATCAGAATATCATAAGGAATCGCTCCTACTCGCTTAGCAAACGCCACCGGACTGAGCTTAGAATTTATCACCTTACATACACGGTTCCACATAGACAAGTTTCTGTGAAGGAAGCAGTCAAAGTATTGACCGTTGATTTTGAACAAATACGGGGCTCTGTTAGAATGGCTGGGAAGAATGTAGGACGACATAGAGGGAAAATGGTATGAGTTTATAACAATTTTGTGATAGGTACGAAGAACTAGAAGGGTGCGGCGATGAAGGGTGGTTAGCATAGAGAACTGGGATAGGCGATCGGTGTATGAATTGAAGGGCATATTACATCTCTGAAAGACTTTTCTGGTGAAAAAAACGAAGAGGAGATTCTAGTTTATTGGCAAGTGTGGCATTGGATGGATCTAAAAGTTCGCAACAGTATTTGAGGACCGGTCTAATGTAGGTGTCGAAGAGACGGAAATATAAACAAGGGTTTTTCGATTGGAACGTTTTCAGTATTTGGCGGGACTTGAGTTTAGCAGAGTAGGCAATAAGATTGATGTGTTTGTCGAATTGAAGTTGATCATCAACTAGTATACCTAGGTCCTTGAATGAGCGATGCGGAGTAATGGGGGATCCCTTAATAAAGTAAACTGTCTTAGGATTGCGTTTACCATAATGCATAACGACCGTCTTATTTCCGGCTACTTTGAGTCTCCAGGTGTCACACCAGTGCTCGACGGTTTCGATACTTCTCTGCTTGGTTTTGAGCTTCGGCGGGCCGACACCCAGCGGTGGATCGTAATTGTTCCCGGATATTGTTTCAGCGGCCTTGATCGTAGCTTCGAGGGAGGCGATTTTTTTATCCTGACGTTCAATTCTGGCTTCGAGAGCGGCTACTCTAATTAGAAGAGCATTGACATGGGTTTCGGAAGCAGAGATTGCCTTGGGCCGTCCGCGTTTTCTCAGGTTTTGAGTATTCAGAAAGGGCAGCTTGCGCGGTGGCGACTTCGTTGGCGACGATGATTCGGGGTCTGGGGTCGGCGGTGGACGAGTAGTGGGCGGGGGCGGTCCTTCCAAGGGCTCAGAAGAGGGAGCACGCGACAAGTCGTCGTTGACTGGTGTCATTGTTCGTCGTTGTCGGCGGTACCTCAAACTTGGGTAATTAAACCTCAAGGTTTTTGCGTTTACATTTGAGTATTCCAGAAACTATAGTAAATGAAAAAATTTAGCCTAGCTTATTTATTGAACTGAATACTAACAGAAATGTCTCGTTGTCCATGACTCGCTTTCAGTATGAAAAAATGCGTTGTAAACATGATTCTTTTTTCAGAAATGCCAAGTCGTCGTGTTGAAAGACCACGCAAGGACACTACGTCTCATCAAGGGACATCCGAAGGGATCGCTTTGAAGAGAAGAAGACTACCCGACTCCTCTGCATCAGAATCAGAACATGATGTTCAGGTACAGTTTTCTCTCTCTCTCTCTCTTTCCCTCTTCTCCAGCAATGGAAAATGTTTTCTGTTTTTTTGAAAAATGAGTTTTCAGGAGCTGAGACCCAAGAGAAATTCGGCCAGACATGTTATTTACAATGAACATGACTCAGATTTCGAAGACAGCTCGGATTCTGACGATACGGTATTAATTTTTCGATGTAGTGAAACATTTTTAAATGAATATTTCAGGTCGTGGAAAAGACGGAGAATGAACAAATTCAACATTCTCAGAAAAGAAAGAGAAATAACTACACGGAAGAACAGAGAGAGATACTTCACGCAATGCTTTCTCAAACTCATAACCCGTCAGAAGAGCAGAGAAAAAAATTGGCGGAAGAAACCAATCTTAGCACCCGCCAAGTGAGTATGAAAATTAAGTTTCAAAATAAGTGTTCAGAGCAGTTTTCAAAGCATTCATAACTTTTTAAACCGTTATAAGGAGCAGATTGTGTTATCCATCTTACACGATTCAATGCTTGGTTTTAAATTAAAAACATTATAATATGCCAATCACAATTTAGCATAGCAAACTTCCAAACATGTTCCTAAATTGTCAAGAAAATTCTGATAAACACTAAAAAATGTTTGGCTCTATCGGAAAATTAGGGTATTTTGTGAATGAAAACAATATTGCGAAGTGTTGTTAGTTTCGAGCATCATGACAAAACTATTTTTTTAATACCGTGCCTATAAAAAAATAGAATATTTGTTTTCCCCATCCCCATACGAAAAATCGCCCGAACATCTTAATTAAAAACGTTTAATTTTCAGGTACGGAAATGGTTTGATAACAAAAGACAGGAAAATCCAGAATGGGTGAAGGCAAGAGAGTCCAATCCAGAATGGGTGAAGGTTATTTTCTGTTCCTAGACAAATGTTCATGAACAATTTTTTTAGAGACGCGAAGGAATACTCTCAGGCGAAAAGAAGCTGAGAATGGAGCAAGTCTTTGCTATAAACCGTCGACCAGATAAGGAAACGATTGCAGCATTAGTGTCAGAACTTGGAATAACCAAAGAAAAAGTCAGTTTTTACGACCAATTAGTATAAAATCACAGAATATCGATTTCAGGTCGAAGGATGGTTTTCGACAAAAAGATATAGAAATCCGATCGCTGAGGAAGTTCCACTTTTACTTTGCGAAGAAGACGCGAAGCCAATTTTAATGGAGTTCTTTAAACGAAATCCAAATTTTCGAGACTACAAGAATGCGGAATTGAAGGAAAAAACAGGATGGCCAAGACATCGAGTAAGAGACTTATTTCGATTCAGAAGAGAAATTAATAATTTTCAGCTGAGAGAATTCTTCGAGACATCCCGACAAGAAAATGGGATCGTCGACTCTCCACTCACTTACGACAAAGCCGAACCAATTCTTAGGCAGATTTTAGTTGAAGATCCTTTGTTTTCGGATTACCAGAATGTCGAATTAAAAGGAAAAATTCACTGGTCGAGTCGAAAAGTGAGCTTTATATCGTTGAAATGCAATTTTCATCATTTTAATCTTCCAGGTTGAGGAATGGTTCCGTCGACAACGCCACTTGAAAAAACAGAATCAATTCACAACTGCCATGGAAACATTCTTCCAAACCCAGCAATTTCTTGAAAAACCAAATAAAGCTTTGGAATCGGAATCGGGAGGCACTCGGAGAAGAGTGAATATTGGAATACTTTCATATTCTGTAATTAACAATTTACAGATCTTCAACTGGCTGGAAAACAAAAGAAAAACTACGCTAGAATCATTTTTGAAAAAGGAAATTATGTTGAATGAAATGCCAAAGGAAATGGCGACCTTCGAGAGACTCTACGAGAAGTACGATGCACCCACGGACGAAGATGTAATTCTTTACATCGAGAAAAAAGAGAATGTGTCGGGCGATAGCGTGAGTGGGAATAATTGAATTATGGACATCAAAGATTTGTTTTTCAGTTCACGGTTTATTTGGTGGAGCGATGGACCGTAGTGAAAAAGCTTCAGCCCGGAGACGTCAATGCAGGGGAAGACGATTTCGCTGATCCACTCGACGAAGAGTATCCCAATGACCCGGAATTCGACTACCAGATGAATGAACACCAAGAAGAGGATGATATGGAGAGCGAAGGGTATGAAATTGGCACACCAGATGAAGCTCTATTAGATGAAGACGTCAAAGATTTAACACTTTTCGGAAATCCGAGAGAAGATTATCAGAGACCACCGATAGTGAATCACATCAAAAATGAAGTTGATGACTTCGGAGACGAAACCCAAAATATGCCACGATTTGTTCCTGCTCCAGGATATCGAGATCAAAGCCAGGAACTGGATGTTGAAGAAAAGTTTATTAGAAGCTAAATACATTTCAATAATTGTGGTATATTTTTTCCCTTTTTTAAAAATTCTCCCTTTCTACCATTATTGCTCTTTTTTCCTAATTTCCTTCCTCCTCTTTTCAAGACACATTCCCAAGATTCTGTCTTATTGGATCCTCTCATCGCTATTCATTTTATTTTGTGGTCTATCTTCATTTTTTTTCAACTACATTCCCTTTCCATCCTATTTCCCAGGAACACATGTGTACTTTTTCAACACTTCATCAGATCTGTATCAGAATTTCCGAAAATTGAGGATTTTTCTTTTCAATAAATATGATTTTCAGCAAATTCATTAGTCAAAATAAGTTTTTTACGGTGAATCAAATTTTTATGGTTAATGGAATTCTTCAGACAACTGTTTGTAATACAGATCACAAACGGATTCCATCTTTTGGTAGAAGGTCCCATGGTCAGCACGTCGAATTTGTGACACCATGCAAGTTACAGTAGACAGGTTTTCATCGGGACGTGGAGCTTCTTGTTCTGAAAATGAAGTCTTATTCATATGAACAAGAAAAATCAAAAATTTAGGAATTCAGAATAATACAATTTTAAAAAATTCTTTTCTTTTGCGTCTGCTGCCTCTGCTATCTCTTCTATGCCAAGTCATCTCAAGTGTCTTCTGAAACTCGACGTCTTCAGATTCGATCATTTTTGGAATTACTCTTCAAACGACTATTCCATTTTTGTTGGTTCTGGTTCCAACAATTTTATTATCGATTAACACAAGTCCAGAAAAATTCGATCAATCGAAAAACAATATCAAATTTTTACCGCTAGTTTTTCATAAAAGAATCGCTAGTTTATGTGTTATTTTAGTCCATTTTCCATATCGAACATTTTTATTTTCTGTGATTTGTTGTAAACAGCAAAATGATAATAAGATTGCAAATGTTCCATCTCCAATTTCTTGAAATTATTTTTGTGCAATTTATTTTATTAATGAATTTTATAATCAGAAATTATTAATGAAGCTTTGAATTTCGAATTTTTGGGATATTATTTCTGAAATTTAAAATTATGGTTAAAAAATCTTTGAATTTCAACTCAACCTCATCTCTGATAAAATTGAATTACTGAATTTTTCTTTTTCATGTTGTTATTTATTATTCTATCCAAAACTAGTCATACGTTTCTTTTTGTATTCGCTAGAAAAATAATTATTTATTTTCTCTTCATTCGACTAGACATATATACATTTTTTATAGTTCCGATCACATTGTTTTTTCGAAAATTCTATCGAAAAAATATTTTCGAACCCGCTGAAAATATCAAAATGTCTCAACATAATGTTTATCCAATTTTGTGCAAAAATCTTCTGGAAGCTTATCAAAATTCCTAGAATCCCAAGAAAATCTTATTCACACTTGCCGACTAACCATCCTAATTGCTCTACCTCTTCAGCTTTTCACATTTTTTGTATTTTGAGGAAAACTCCAAAAGCTATGGATTCTGTAAAATTTTCACTTTTGAATTTAAACTTTTGGTATACATTTTGTGGAGTATTTTCGTTTTCTTCGACATTTTACTTTTTCTATCCTCATAGAGCTAGATTTTACATTGCAATTTTGAGTGGTTTGGGTTTTTCAAACGGATTTCAATCTTTTTTAAATAGTTTTGAATAGTTTTTGTAGGTTTTTGATTTAAAGGTGGGGTGACAGGAGATTTTTCGTAGTTTTTTTGTAGCTAGAGTATGCATTCTACCGTAACAGTGTACAACGCTTAATGTCACTCTGCGTACAGCTGTCGTCCTCGCCTTTATATATGCAATCGGGCGGCAGCTTCCTCTTTGCCCGCGTGGCTCAGTCGGTAGCGGCGCCGCACCCTTAATCATCGCCCCCACAAGTTCAACTCCTCGAGGGGCATCTTTGAACGGAATTTCGAGAACATTATTTTTTTCATGTCCCCCCACCTTTAAAAAATTTATTTTAAAAAACGGATAATTTGCAGTTATGTTAATGGCATATTCGATTCTTTTCGAAAATCGGAGCAGTTTAATTGTGAATAATATTTTTCGATTTTAAAGTCTGTCCAGTAGATGCTTTTGGTTAATTGTCAATATTATTGGATGTATCAGACCATTAATTCCAATTTATTTCAATTTTTCCGGAATCCGATGAAGCCAGAACTAATGTGTTGAAGGTAGGCAGATTCTGAAATTTTGAAATTCCAGACATTTCGAAATTTTCAGTCCCTGCCACGTCCTCCAAAAGAATTCTTCACCGAAAACATTCTAGTTTTCCCTTGCGTTTAGCTTCGCGATTGACCCTTAGATCTTGATAACGAGATGGATATCGAGGTTCTGCAAAAACACAACCTTATTGATCTACAAAATTCAAAATTTAATTGGAATTCGGAAAATCGCAAAACCCCTAAAAATCTGAATACCAGTATGGAATTGTCTGAAATTTCTCGAGTTCTTAGAATCAAATTCTTAAAACTTCGAAAATTAAAAAAAACCAGAGGCCGTATTCATGACCGTTTTCTTTCCAGAAAATCGTGAATTCGGAAAGTGACAGATTCAAAAAATTACATGAAATTCAAAGCTTTAGGAAGTTAAAAAAAAATTCTGAAACCCTGAATTTCAAAGTTACTAATTTTTTGAATTTCTGAATATCCGTATTTCCGAGTGTCGGTAATCCTGATCTTCTAAATTTCAGGATTTCAGAATTTAAGAGTTTCAGAATCTCAAAAACCTCAGGATCCCAGAATCTCAGAATCTCGGAATCTCAGTATTCCAGAATAACAGAACTTCAGAAATTTCAGAAACTCAGAACTTCAGAAATTTCTGAATATCTGAATTTCAGAATTTTTCAATTTCTCAATTTCTGAACTTTCGAACTTCTGAACTTTCGATCTACTGAACTTCTGAAATTTTGAATTTTTGAATTTTCGATTTTTTTAATTTCAAAATCTACATATTTCTGAACTTTTCCTGGAGCCTACTGGATTATCTGAAAGTAAAAAAACTGTCAAAAACTGGTTATGTCGAGAATATTTTCAGCAATGTTGTCTAAAAAAATTACAGAAAATTGGTTTTTGAAACAGTTTTAGAAAGTCATGTTTTGTTTCTAAATCCTGTGTACTACAACCTAAAATTTGAAATACTTTCTGCTTTTCCAGTTTTAATGTTCCCAAGGTTTTAAACTTTTTATTTTTTCAGAAAGCCAAAAATCATTTCTGAACAATTTGAATTTCTCAATTATTTTTGTTTCTTTCGTCATTTATTGTTTTCCCCAAAACCAGTCATACGTTTATTTTTGTACTCGCTTGAAAAAACTAATTAATTATTTTCACTTCATTTGCTCTCTGGAAGTGTTTTAGTTGTCCGACTTTCAGAATTTGGTATAATTCTGAAAATGTCATTTTGAACTCATCTCTGAAAATTTTGAATTACTCATTTGTTGTTGTCTCTTTCGCTATTTACTATTTTCTCAAAATTTTCCCTTCATTTGATTAGACAGACAGGTTCCTATAGTTCCGGTCACATTATTTTCTCGAAAATTCTCAGAAAAAAAGATTACACCTCTGAAATCGGCTGAAAATCTCCAAATGTCTCAGCAACTAAGCGAATATTACAACAATTTTTATCCAATTCTGTGCAAGAATTCCTCAAAAATCAGTCATGCGTTATTGTTGTACTTCCTCGGAAAATTAATTAATTATTTTTTATTTATTTGGCTAGACATATACATTTTCTGTAGTTCCGGTTCGCACAGCATTTTTTAGAAAATTTTATCAGAAAACGTTTCTGATATCGGCTGCTAATATCCTAATGTCTCAACAACTCAGTGAATATTTCAAAAATATATATCCAATTTTGTGCCAAAGTTCTTCTGGAAAATTTCTGAAATTTCTAGAATCCAAAGAGAATTTTGTTAACACTTGCCGAGTGATTACACTTATCAGCCTACCTTTCCAACTTTTTACATTTTTCTGTATTATGAAAAAGACTCCAAAAGCAATGGTTTCTGTAAAAATGAGTCTTCTAAATTTAAATTTTTGGTATACATTTTGTGGAATTTTTTATTCATTTCTTTCGACACAATACTTTTTCTATCCTCAACGAGCTTTCATTTTTATTGGAATATTGAGTGACTTTGGAGTTTCAAACGGATTTATTCATTTTTTTCAAGTGTTTACTAGTTTTTGTAGGTTTTTTACCCATAAAAACATTCTAAAAGTTTTTTAAATCTGAAAATTTCAGCGATGATATTGGCATTTTTGGTACTTTTTGAAAATCGGAGCAGTTTGATTGTCAATAATATTTTTCGAATTACAAATAATTCAACGAGGAGTTTCTGGATATTTTTTAATATTACTGGATGTATGTTACCATTTATTCCCGTTTATTTCAATTTACCAGATTCTGGTGAAGCCAGAGTTATCATGTTGAAGGTAAGCAGATTCTGCAGTTTTGAAATTCTAGACTGTCCGAAAACTTAAAAGTTTAGAAAGTAGTTATCAATTTTCCAAATTTCAAATCTAATGCTCTATTTTCAGTCCCTGCCATGTCCTCCAAAATATTTCTTCGCCGAAAATATTCTGGTGTTACCATCAGACGGTTTTTGGTACACCTATTTAAGTGCCTCATTTTTAGTTTCGAGTGGAATTCTTTTTTTACAAATTTTATTCTTTACCGTCTGCTGTCTCTACTATCTCTTTTATGCCAAGTCACCTCAAGTATCTCCTGAAACTCGACGACTTCAGATTCGCTCATTTTTTGGAATTGTTCTTCAAACCACTATTCCATTTTTGTTGGTTTTGATCCCAGTAATGTTATTAACAATTAATTCCAATCCAGAAATTTTCGATCAATCGAAAAATAATTTCACATTTTTACCGATGGTTATTCATAAGGGAATCGGTAGTTTATGTATTATTTTAATTCATTTTCCATATCGAACATTTTTATTTTCTGTGATTTGTTGTAAAAAACAAAATGATAATAAGATTGCAAATGTTCCAACTCCAAATTCTATCGGAGCTTGAAGCTTGCTTGCGAATCTAATAACGGAAAATTAATTAATTATTTTTTATTTATTGGCTAGACATATACATTTTCTGTAGTTCCGGTTCGCACAGCATTTTTTAGAAAATTTTATCAGAAAACGTTTCTGATATCGGCTGCTAATATCCTAATGTCTCAACAACTCAGTGAATATTTCAAAAATATATATCCAATTTTGTGCCAAAGTTCTTCTGGAAGCTTTTCGAAATTTCTAGAATCCAAAGAAAATGTTGTTCACACTTGTCGAGTGATTACACTTACTTCCCTACCTTTTCAGCTTTTTACATTTTTCTGTATTTTGAAAAAGACTCCAAAAATTATGGATTCTGTGAAATTGAGTCTTCTGAATCTAAATTTTTCTTATACATTTTGTGGAATTTACTATTCTTTTCTATCGACACCATAGTTTTTTATCCTTAGAGAGCTGGATTTTTTATTGGAATTTTAAGTGATTTGAAGGTTCCCAACGAGTTACATTGTTATTTTCAAATTTTGACTAGTTTTTGTAAGCTTTTCCCACGAAAACTTTTTCAATTCAAGAAAATATTTGAGAATTTCAGTGATGGTATTGGCATTTTTAATTCTTTTTGAAAATCGAAGCAGTTTAATTATCAACAATGTTTTTCGATTTAAAATAATTCAACGAGAAATTTATGGGTATTTTTGAATATTTCTGGATGTTTGGGACCATTTATTCCAGTTTATTTCCATTTCCCAGATCCTGATAAAGCTAAAATTACTGGTTTGAAGGTAAGCAGATTTTGAAGTTTTGAAATTCGGAAATACAGAAATTTAAAAAGTCTGAGATTCTAAAAATTCAGACATTCAGAAAAGCCGAAATTCGGGAATTCGGTAATTCAAAAATTCATAAGTTCAGAAAGTCTAGAAAATTCTGACGAATTTAAAAATTCATAAAATCAGAAGATCTGAAATACGGAAAAAAAAAGAAAAAACAGAATTTGAAGAAAATAGGCATTTTTCAAATGTGGAAATTCCAGACGATCCTCACAAAGTCGAAAAAAAAAAAGTTCATTAAAACAAAAAAAAATCAACGGAGTTCAAAATTTTCAAAGTTTCTAATTGAAGTGCGCCAAAGAAGGCCATTCTAATACAGCTTTTACGGCATCTGAATTTTCTAAAATTACAGTATTCCTCAACTCAAAGTCTAATTCTCTGATTTTCAGGCCTTGCCATGTCCTCCGAAATATTTCTTCACCGAAAATATTCTCGTTTTCCCAACAGACGGCTTCTGGTATACCTATTTAAGTGTCACAAGTTTATTTTAAAATGGAATCCTAATTTTCCAAATTCTCTTCTTTTGTGGCTGCTGTATTTACTATCTCTGCTATGTCAAATCATCTCAGTTGTCTCCGGAAACTCGACGTCTTCAGATTCACTTATTTTTTGGAATTGTTCTTCAAATCATTATTCCAATTTTGTTGATTTGGATTCCAATGATTTTATTATCGATTAATACGAATCCAGAGAATTTCGATCAAGCGAAAAATAATCTAACATTTTTACCGTTGGTTTTTCATAAGGGAATTGCTAGTTTATGCATTCTTTTAGTTCTTTTTCCATATCGAACATTTTTATTTTCTGTGATTTTTTGTAAAAAACAGAATGATAATAAGGTTACAAGTGCCCCAACTGCAATTTCTATGCGAGCATGAAATTTTTGTGAGCCACATTTGAAATAAAAAAGCAATGAATATTTTGTTATGAATATCCCAGGATTCATTTCCTAGAAAATTGTTTTTTTCGAAATTTTGAAATTGTGGGATTTTTGGAATTTTGAAGTGTCAATAAGTTTGAATAGTTTGTAGAATCTATCAAAGATTCGAATTTCATAGTTTTCTTCATTTTTTAACAGTTTCCATGCTTTTTTGAACTCTTCGAAAAAATTCTAGATTTTTTTTTCTAGAAATTTTGGAAATTTCCAGAATTCTTGAAAAAGTTCCGAGTTCCAAGCTTTGAACTAAGTCATTTTGTACGTCATTGAGTTCCAGAAAAAAATTTTTAAAAAATTTTGAATTTCCCAGAATTTCCCAGAATTTCAAAAATCTCAGAAATTCAGAAATTCAGAATTTCAAAATATCCAAACTTCAGAATTTCTTCAGTTTGATAATTTTTACCTTTATGAGTTTCTTTTTCACTTTTTTAAGAATTTCTGAATTTCTGAATTTCTAAACTAAGAAAAATTCAAATTCAGATTTTTAGATATTTTGACTTTCAGTATTCATGAGATTTTATGATAACATTCTGTGATTCAAAAAATCAGTAATACTATAATATCATTCCGGAAAAAAGTTCTCAAAACCATCAATCTCGTATATAGCTGATCTCAACGCACAAGCTCCGCCCCCTACGTTCATATGAGGGCCTAAAAACCATTTGTCCACTACTCACCAATTCCATAATCTATTTACCCTCCACTTTTTGTGCCCAATAAAAAATTCATTACTTTTCTCCATCCAATCCATCCATATATCCATCATCATCAGTGTCCACAATTTTCCGGTCCATTTTCTCATTCAAATTCTCTCTAAACACTCCATTAGGAGTCCACTAAAAAGCAGCTGTGTCCCCTTCGCTCATTTTTCCCTCCATTTTGTGTCCCTCGTTTTTCTTCATTCCCTTTTTCATCGTCTTCTTTTCCTTCTTCTTCTTTTTCCGCTACTCAGAATCAATAGAAGGAGAAATAGTGTGGAGAATGGAGAGCGTGGTTAGAGAAAAAGGTCCCATTGAAGAAGAAGCTCACGAGGACGTCCAACGTCTTCTGCGTCTACTTTTTTCTTCCATTCTTTTTTTTGGAAGAAGAAAAAAAAAAGAAAAATCTCTGAAAGTTTTTGGTGGAACGGGGGAAGAAGTCTCCCTATTTTTTATTCAGTTTCCGTTTCCTCGTTTTTTTGGAGTTTGTTTTTTACTACAATTTTTAGGCTGGAATTCGAGGAACCTAGTTTTTTGGAGTATTTTGAATACAAATCCAATTTTCAGACTCTCAGCAAATCATTTTCCAGACAAAAATAAAGGCATTTTTGTAATGCTGAAATTCTGAAAATCCGGATTTTTTATTAGATTTTATGACTCTTAGCAAATCCCCCAAAAGCTGAAATTCTGAAAATGTGTTGTTTCATTTAAACCGGAAAGATTGGATTCCAGAAACCCGTATCTAGAATTTTAAGATATTTTTTGGGATTAAAAATTTTAGACTTTCATGATTTTTTGGGTTTTTTGCAGTTCAAGTCAATTTTTTAAATTGGAGAATTTCAGAATTTTCAAAATTCAGGGGTTTTAGAATTTTAGAGCTTCAGAATTCTACTTTTTTGAAATTCTAGATTCTTAAAGTCACAGAATCCGAGTTTCTAAATTACAGAATCTCAGAATTTCAGAATCTCAGAATTTCAGAATCTCAGAATCTTAGAATCTCAGAATCTCAGAATCTCAGAATCTCAGAATCTCAGAATCTCAGAATCTTCGGATCTCAGAATCTCAGAATCTCGGAATCACAGAATCTCAGAATCTCAGAACTTCATAAATTTCAGAAACTCAGAACTTCAGAAATTTTTGAATATCTGAATTCCAGAATTTCTCAATTTTTCAATTTCTGAACCTTCGAACTTCTGAACTTTCGATCTACTGAACTTCTGAATTACAGAATCTCAGAATCTCAGAATCTCAGAATCTCAGAATCTCAGAATCTCAGAATCTCAGAATCTCAGAATTTCAGATTTTCAGAATTTCAGATTCTCAGGATCTCAGAATTTCAGATTTTCAGAATTTCAGATTCTCAGGATCTCAGAACTTCGGAATCTGAGAACTTCAGAATCCCAAAACTTTAGAGAATCCCGTTGTGATGTTTTTGTTATTTTTTTCAGTCATACTATTATGCCTTTCCTGATCCCTTATGTGGCTGTTTTTCAGTCATTTTTTCAAAATGTTTGTTTATAAATTGCTGCATTTTTTCCCAGTTTTTTTTAAAGCTAACTTTTTCAACTTCCAGTTTTTTTAGCTATTTCTAGCTTTTTCTACCTGACAGTTCATTTTGTATTTTGGATCATTGCAAAATTTTTCTAATTTTTCCCTCAAAAATCATGTTTCCCCTTTGTCCTCCTCCCCATTTACATCTCCTACGTAAAAAATAATGTACCTAATTTTCTTCATTCTAAACATTTTCTTTTTAGTTTTGAGGGTGTCTACACCCCCTCAACGTTGACGGTTTTCTTGGAAAAATGACTTGAAAAATGGCGGCTAATTTGAAATTCGAGAGAGAGAGAGAGAGAGAGAGAGATAAAATTGACCACAATTTTCTTCCATCTATACTTAATGACACCGTCATCACGAGATTGATCTTATGGTGCCAGGAGCTGGTACATAAAAGTGAAAAAATAGAAAATATTGGCTGAAAATGATTTCAGACACATATTTTTTGTATTAAAATGTTTTTTATGGTTTATGACTTTATGAAGCAGTTTAAGCAAAAAAGCGGGTGATTGGCGGGTCTAGGGTGGCTCTATAACTACCGTATTTTCTCCAATATAAGCCCAGACTATAAGTGCACCTTGAGTTCAATGATCTCACTTCTTGTAAGAGATATCAAAAAGTTGTCCACTGATAAAATATTTATCATAGTATCACCAATATTTTATCAATTGACACATGTTTGATATCTCTTATAGGAACCGAGATAATTGAACTCAAAGTGAGCTATGCTTCTATTAGAGCAAAAACGGACGACCGGCGGGTTAATGTCGTCTCTAGCTTTTTTCAGTCAATTCGTTGCCTAATTTTTGTACGTTGATCACTTTTCCATATACCAATTCAAATGGATTAACAGTTTTCTGTCTTCTCCATTTCAATATATTTTAATCCGATTTCTCTAATCCCGTTTTGGTTTTTGCACGGCACGCTTCGAACAAAATTGACCAGATTTTGATACTTTTTTTATTGTAAGAACAGAATTTTCGTAGTTTTTGTAATAAGAGTTGTAGTCAGTGGGGATTATGATAAGAAGGATTTCAAAAAATCTTAGCTGGCAAGATTTTGAGATTTGACGAGATGAAGAATCTGCAAAAAATAGAAGTTAGTCTTACTTGGAATTCCAAAAAATCCAAAAATCAACTGTAAACTTTAAGCTCATATATATCAGTTCCTGTAAAAGATATCAAAAAACTGTCAACTGATAAAATGTTTATCATATTATCAACAATATTATATCAGTTAAAATTTTTTGATATCTTTTATAGAAACCGAGATAATTGAGCTCAAGGAACACGTATAGGGTGGGCTTCTGTTAGAGCAAATACGGTATAACAGCTGTGATCCCTATAAAAGCTATGATCCCTTTTTTGGTTATGCTAGGAAATGTTTATTACAGCTCAACAATTTATTTCTCCATTTCATTCTAGCCTACATTTTTTAGCCTTCTCCTCTTTTTTCAATTTAAAATGTTCAAATCTCCATTTCCCTCTCTTTTTTTCAATTTTCAAATGACCAAAGGATCCAGCCCAATAGTTTTAATTCCAAGAATTGGTCACACATGATCTCTTCTAGCGAGTCTGAAAACCAATATCCCATTTGCATTTTTCACTTTTCTCCCTCTCTCTCTCAATTCCTTTTCATCTCATTTCCATTTCTAATTGCATTCGCTCGAAGAATTAGGTTCCGTTTTTTTCGTTTTCATTTTTCTGAGTCACGAGTGTGAGAGAGCTCAGAAATTCATTCTGTGTACTTCCTTGTGTGAATAGGAACATATTAAGCCAAGCGAAAAGAAAATTGTCAGGTGGAATAACTTCTTGGTGTTCCTCCTCTTCTGAGTTTTTTAAATTTTCATGTGCCTTTAAAAAGCAGTCATATTTTGAAGTTTATGTCCTCACTAGAATTCTATTACCAATTCTCTGCCCTTGCAAATATCTGAATCCACATATGATCTAGTAAAAGATTCTCTGATTCATTCCACCCACAGCAAGAAGAAGTCAGTCATCTTTCGTGTCCAAAGGATAAAAAAATCTCATGAATTATTCCAATCAAAATGACTTCGACCACACCTCGTGGTCCACGAGGCTCAATGGGTATCTTGAAATTCAGAATTCAAGACGTCTTGTTGGGCAAAAAGTGTTATTTCTTAAAGTAGCCAAGTTTTAGCATAAGAAATATGCCTGAATTTCAGCAGAAAATATCCATGAAATCACAATTCTACGTTTTGAAGTCTCCAATTTCCACACCATTTTTTTGAATTCACAGAATTTTTGAGCTCTTAATGCCATTTCTTATGTACTTTCCTCTCTAACCCTGATAATAGAAGAACCCACATGCTTTTATCTTTGACCCAATTTATCTCGGTTCCTGTCAAAGATATCAAAAAGTAGTCAACTGATAAAATGTTAATCATAACATCAGAAATGTTTTTTTTTAAGTTAACAACTTTTTTGAATCTTTGACAGGACTTGAGATAAATTGGGAAAAAGTTTGGTACCGTAAAACCAGAAAAAAGATGAGCCCCCTACCGTTAAGTTTAAGCTCAATCATCTCGATTCCTATGCGAGATATAAAAAATCTATCAACAGATAAAATATTGCTGATATTATGATAAACAATTTATCAGTTGACAACTTTTTGATATCTTTGATCGGAACCGAGATATATTGGCTTAAAGTTTAAACTTTGAGGCCCCTTCTGTTACAGGTTATACATATGTCGTACTTATGCTCATCCTTTTGGTAAATAGTGCGTTTCTATCAGAGGCACAGGTGATTTCTGACATTCAATTTCTAACATTTCTATAAAAAATTTGTTTAAAACTTTCTGCTCTTTCCCCTCCAAATGTAATTTGTTTATATATATTTAGTAACTTGACACCTGTCCTTCTCCTTTCCTCACTCTGCCTTTCATAATTTTTTTTCATTCTTTCCCCCAAAAATTTCGCTAATGGTCAGAAACGCTCTAGTCAATCAGGCTCTCGAATTTTTTGGGTGAGTTTGTCTCCTTCCCAGGTGTTCCTATTTGTACATATTTACCCATTCATATTGTTATTTTTCTGAAAAAACATTTCCAATGTGACCTATCATCCATTTTGTTTGAATAACGTGGTATAGAACTTCCTTTTTGTTCGCTTTATTTTTTTCTTATCAGTGATTTTTCTCAACCACACCTATTTAGTTATCACTCACAAGCACTTCATTCACTCAAGAGAAAAAAAGCGAAGAATGTTTTCTTGCAGAATGCCATTCGGAAACGACCCGCCGGATTATGTGCACCTGCGGAGCAATGAGAGTCAAATGCAATTGATTACGATCAGTGAGAATAGTGATACGCCAACACCAAGGTTGGTCGGGGTTGGGATGGCCTAGGAAGGAAAATTAGGCCACTAGGGAGGACTCGAAAATTGTTAAATATCAGAAAATTGATTTTCAAAGAAGAAGTAATTTACGAAAAAAGATAATTAGGATCGAAGTGACAATGAATAAGAGGGTTTCTGTTAAAGGAACTCCTACACTTCAATCTTTGACACAATTTAACTCGGTTCCTAGGGAAGATATCAAAAAGTGTTCAACGGACGAAATGTTTATCATGTTAACATCAACTTTTTATTAGCTGATCACTGATTGATATCTTTTGAATGAACCGAGATAATTGAGCTCAAAGTGGTATATGTAGGGTAGGCTTCGTTTAGGATGGGCACAGTCAACTTTTAGTCAATTTATCTCGCTTTCTTTAGAGGTATCAAAAAGTGGTCAACTGAAAAAATGTGTATCATAATATTACCAACATTTTATCTGTTGACAACGTTTTGATATCTCTCATAGGAACCGAGATAATTGAGCTCAAAGTTCATAGAAAATTGAATTGACTATTAAATCAATTTTTGGATTTTTAGGATTTGAGAAATTAAAGAACCTAATATTAAAGATTCTTACAATTAGATTTCAAACTATAGGGATTTCAAAATCTGACACTTTAAATAACCCCTATTTTGTAACATGTTTCAAATTTTCCCATTTCAAAAGTTCACAAAATATCGGGGTAGTCAAAATAAGCGGATTACCCCCACCCAATCACTCTGTCTACATGAAAATGTTTTATTTGTTCTCTGTTTGACCTACCATTTCGATTTGAAAATTTCGAATATGAACCGAGAAAAAAATGCCTCGACCACTACCATCTCAAAATGATATTCCTTTATCGTCTTCCAGCGGATCACCATGCTTCAACGCTCCAGCAAGAGACGAGGCGCCAGCTGTGATTTTTATTCCGGGAAAGGTGAGTTATTTCGATACTTCAACTTTGACGTCAATCATCTCGATACTTGTAGAAGATATCAAAAATTTGTCAACTGATAAATTGTTTATCATAATACAGGCAATATTTTATTAGTGTACAGAATTTGGATGTCTGCCATGAGAAACGAGATAATTGACCTCAAATTTCACGGTTTGGCTGTCCAAGAAGCTTCTCTAGACGAACTTAGGTATCCCTTTTTTACAGAAGTTCCAAGGCACATTCCGATGGTGGAAATCGCGGACTACAATGGAGAAGCTCTTGATTCCAACGATGCTCCTCTTCTGCCTACTTACTGCTGTTCTTCTTGCAGTGATAATCAACACTGATAAGCGGATAGAGGCAATTAAAGCTGATCATGCTACACAAACCGAAAAGTCGTCGGAGAAAGCTCCAGTTGCTCCAGCGGCTCCGCCCCTTGTTCCTGACTCTGAAGCTCCACCGACGACTACGATTCAACCGATTCCGACGTCTTTTGAGAAGCCTAAAAAGCCAGAAGTGTGCTCCACACCAGGATGCGTTAGAGCAGCAACTCATTTCGTATGTTTATGAATAAAGTGGCATTTTAATCTCCTAAGTTTCCAGTTAAACGCCATGAACACCTCCGTGAACCCCTGCGAGGACTTCTTTGAGTTCGCCTGTGGCCAATGGAACGACCAACACCCGATTCCTGATGATATGTTTGCTTTTGGAACATTTGCTTATGCCAGAGAACAAGTTCGCCAGCAGTTGCGAGTCCTTCTCGAGCAAGAAGTCGTCACTGAATCCGAATCGATTAATATGGCCCGAGCTACGTATAGAAGTTGCATGAATAAGACGCAGTTGGATGAGTTGAAGACTGGGTAAGCCAATTGCTAGCAATGGAAATGTTTACAGTATCAAGTTGCAAAATTGATGGGAACTTTACAGACCTCTCATCGAAACCCTGACGGAACTCGGAGAGTGGCCACTTCTACATGAAAGTTGGAACAAGACAACATTCAATTTGACAAGTGAGTTTAGAACATCCATTTCTATTTGGTTTGCGTCAGCATGCCCCTTTAAGGAATTGAGGGGGCGGAACTACCCGGACTGACAGAAACTGGTATATCTTTTGACATAATTATCTTGGAAGCACGAAAATTGGTAGAAATATAATTTTACGTTTGATTCAAATCACCTGAAATTTTCAAAGTGTTTCCTCAAATCTAGCTACTGTCATGATTCTGCAAAAAAGGATTTTTTGAAATTTTGTATCACTTTTAATGAGATATAGAAATACCGTAATCCCTCTAATGGAAGACCACCTTATACTGTCACTTTCAGCTCAATTATCTCAATTTCTATAAGAGGTATTAAAAAACTTTCAACTGATAAAATGTTGCTTATCTTATGACAAACATTTTGTTAGTTAACTATATTTTTGTATCTGTATTAGGAATCGAGCTAATTGAGCTCAAAGATGACGGCTTAAGGTATGGTTTTATTTGAGCAGATACGGCGTCTTGGAGTGTTATGATAAACATTTTATCAGTTGATCATTGCCCATATCTTTGACAGGAACCGAGAAAAATTCCACTTTTCCAGACCTTCTTGTCAACTCTCGTCGCGACTATGGTGTTGACGTCTTCTTCCAACTTTATATCTACGCGGATTCCAAAAATACCTCAAGGAACACTCTCTTTGTAAGAACCCTCAAATTTCGTGGAGTCTTCTAGAACCATATTTCAATTTTCAGATCGATCAATCCACTTTGGCACTGGGTCGTGGAACTCGAGACTATTACTTGAACACTACCCTCTTTTCAAGCCATATGACAGCGTACAGAAAGTATTTGAGAAATGTAAGATACATTTTTTTTTATCTGTAAAGAACAAACCAAACAAATTGAAAAATTTTAATTAAAGGTGGGGGGACAGGAGATTTTTCGAAGTTTTTTGGTAGCTAGAGTATGCATTCTACCGTCACGGTGTACAACGCTCAATGTCACTCTGCGTACAGCTGTCGTCCTCGCCTTTATGTATGCAATCGGGCGTGCGCTTTCTCTTTGCCTGCGTGCCTCAGTCGGTAGCGGCGCCGCACCCTCAATCCTCACCCTCACAAGTTCAACTCCTCGAGGGGCATCTTTGAACGGAATGTCGAGAACATTTTTTTTCATGTCCCCCCACCTTTAAAATTAAAATTTTCAGATTGCCCAAATCCTGAAAGCAGACGGCAATTTGACACGAAACGATGCGGACATGAATGCAGATATCGAGAAGATTATTGATTTTGAGATTGAGTTGGCGAAGGTAATACCTTAAAAATTTTTTTGCGTTCAAAATTCAAATCAAAATTTTTTCCAGATCATTGTTGCTGAGGATGAGCGTCGGAACAACACCAGACTCTATAATAAACGAGCCATTCGAGATCTCTATTCCCTATTACCTCAAGTCGATTGGGTTCCATTTTTCCAGAGCATTGCACCCACTGATCTTATTGATTTATTCCATAATGACACTGAAATTATTATTTGTGAAATCGAATACCTTCGACAAATTTCCGAGCTCCTTGAGAAGACTGACGTGGGATTGCTCACCAATTATGTGCTATGGAGAGTAGTGCAATCGAATGTGAGATATTTGGATGAGCGATTTGAGGATATAAAGCAGGTTAGGCAAACTTCTGGAACCTCAAAATTCGAAAAAGAACTTCAGGACTTCCTAAAAGTGATGACCGGTCAACAACAGTCGCCTCCAAGATGGAAGGATTGCGCTCAGGTTCCATCTACCGTACTCCCACTGGCAGCAGGCGCAATCTACGTTCAGGCGCATTTCCAAGAGAGTGATAAGTATGAGGCACTTCGAATGATTACTCATTTGAGCAAGTCTTTTACTGATTTGGTTCGGAAGAATGATTGGATGGATGAGGAGACGAAGAAAGTGGCGATTGAGAAGGCGAATTCGATGATTAATAATATTGGTTATCCGGATGTGACTAATGATATTCCATTGTTGGATAAGCAATATGTTGGGGTGAGTTGAATTACATGGACCCTATGTATCTTTGGCAGAAAAGCTCTGATGTGTTTTCTAGGCCATTGTAACATGGTGGCCTAACTTTTGCAAGTTGAGTTTCCTAGGCCACCATTTTTTATGACTCAGAAAAATCTTCATGTTCACCTGGTATGTTTTCTGAGCCATTTTGAAATACTGGCCTAAGTTTTGCAAGATTAGTTTTTTAGGCCAATAAGTTTTATGACCTAGAAAAGACCTGATATTCCCCTAGAGTGTTTTCGAACTATTTTAACATCGTGACCTAACTTTTGCAAGTGAAGATTTAGGCCACAAACTTTTTCGACTCAGAAAAGGCCTGATATTCACCTGGTGTGTTATCTAGGCTATTTACCATGATTACCTAACTTTTGCAAGTATAGTTTTCTAGGCCACTAACTTCAATGGCCTAGAAAGTCTTGATTTTCACATGATGTGTTTTTACAGCCATCTTAATATGGTGGCCTAAATTTTGCAAGTGGTTTTTTTCTAAGGCACTAAAGTTTATGACCTAGAAAAGGTCTGATATTTACCCTGGGTGTTTTCTGAGCTATTTTACAATGTCGGCCTAAGATTTGCAAGATGAGTTTTTTAGGGCACCAACTTTTAGGAAATTAGCGTACCTACAGTAATCCAACTCCTTTACAGCTCCACATCAGTGAACATGACACCTATTACTACATCATGAAGAAGAGTGTCGTATGGATGCAAAGCCGAGAATTCCAAAAACTTACAAAACCATTTGACAAGCATGAGTTCGACATCTCTCCAGCAGTGGTCAATGCCTTTTACTCGCCGGAGAAGAATGCTATCAGTAAGTTTTTAAGCTGTTCAAGTTTCTAAGGAGCCTCCAAAATCCATTAACTCAGATTGTCCCAAAAAACTAAACTTGCAGCCTTCCCCGCCGGTATTCTCCAACCTCCATTCTTCTCTGGAACATTCCCCAAAGCAGTCAACTATGGTGCTATTGGAGCCGTCATTGGACATGAAATAACACATGGATTTGATGATCAAGGATCACAGTACGACAAGGATGGAAATTTGCACAATTGGTGGAGCGATAGCTCTTTGCAGGCGTTTGACAAGAGACGACGTTGTATTGTGGAGCAGTATGGAAACTATACAGTTCCAAAGACCAGTTTCCGGGTGAGTTGGATTGAGTTTTATTTGAGATCATACGCGATACGTTCAGTTTGAGCTCGATTATCTCGGTTTCTAATAGATATATGAAAATGTTGTCAACTGGTAAAACATTAATGATATTATGATAAATGATTTATCAGTTGACAAATTTTTGATATCTTTGACAGGAATCGAGATGTCTGAGCTTAAAGTCGAAGGTTTGAATAAGCTTCTGTTAGAGCTAATACGGCATTCACTCTTCTATGAAATGAACATCTTTGAAGTGACATGAAAAATTTTAATAGTACCAAATATTTCTAAATTTCAGGTCAATGGAAAACTAACCCAAGGAGAGAATATTGCTGACAATGGTGGTGTGAAAGAAGCGTTCCAAGCCTACCAGAACTACGTCCATGAGAATGGAGAGGAACCGAGACTTCCCGGATTGCAGCAATACACTAACGAACAGATATTCTTCGTTAGTTATGCTCATGTGAGTTTTTGAGATTACTGTAAAAGAAGGATCCTCTAACCGTTGACTTTGAGCCATTTCATCTCGGTTCCTGTAAAAGATATGAAAAAGTTGTCAACTGGTCAATTATTGATCGTAATATCAAAACTATTTTATCAGTTGACAAAATTATGATATCTCTCATAGAAACCAAGACGATTGAACTCAAAGTTGACGGTTTGGGAAGGCTTCGATTAGAGGAAATACAGTATATTTCTAGAAATTCTCAGAAAATTTCTCAACAAAATACTCCTTCTGTATTTTGAATTTTTCCAGTTCTGGTGTGGCAAAAAGAAGGAAGCGGCGGCGATGCAACAAGTGCTCACCGATGAGCACTCTCCAGAAGTCTTCCGTGTGATCGGCGTTCTTTCCAACATGGAAGCCTTCGCAGACGTCTACAAATGCCCCAAAAACTCTCCAGTTAACCCAGACCATAAATGTATTGTTTGGTAATTATCAATAATTATCTCCCTAATTACCCTTTCAATTATTCAATCCATCTCAAAAGTTTCCCCTCTCATTCCTTTCCTTTTATCTCTCTTTTTCCCCAAAAAAAAACTTTTTGAGCTGTATTACGGGTTTTTCCCGTGAAAATGTACATATTTGACATATTTTCTAAATTCTTGACACCGTGTGACCTTTTCGCTTTTTTCCCTGTCCTGTCCTTTCTGATTCTAAACATACAGTACCCAAAGTTGCCTCCCTCTAAAAGTTATCCACTATTTTGATATCATTAAATCCAATTTATCTGTCTGTGTGTCTGTTTGTCCAACAATTAAAAACAACTAGTAACTGATAAGAATTGGTTTATGATGTTTACTAAACAATGCCATTGTGTCTAGTGGGGAACATAGGAAAAAAGATATTGCATAATCAATTATGTGAGAAGAATGGAAAAGTTTCCGCATGGTTGGGTTGGCGAGAATCGATAAGGAATGTTGTTTTTTTTGTAGATCAAAAAACACCACATTTGGATATTGGGCGAAAGAGTATGGGAAGCTTGTGCCGCAGAGAAACGTAATCTGAAAAAAATAGTTTTAAAAATCTTTTAAAAATTAACATGTAAATTGAAAATGTTGGGGAATTGCCTTCGATTTTTTGAAGCGGTTTTTTGAGAGACCAACAAATTTATTAAGTTAGTATTAAAAAAAGATCTCTCAAACGGAAATCTGAGTTTTCGATGTGGATCCAGTTGTGCTGCCACGAGTAGTTGATCCTGGTCCATCATTCGATTTCTCATCCGATCTTTTCGTCGATTCCATCGATTTTCCACCAACTTCCAGAGGGACAATCTTATTATCAATTGGCAAGATTTGATAACGAGCGATGCATTCCAAAACAAAGCGGAACGGAACTGCAGTATACTTTTCTTGGTCGCTCTTCCAAATTGATTTGATCTGGGAATTAAGCATAATTACGAAACACTAATTGATTAATTACCTTGCTATCCTCATATTTCAGAATCCAGCAAGAATTCTGAACCTTCTTTTTCCCATCTTTATACGGAAACATAAAATTATAAGGGAGCAACGTCTTTCTCTTAAATTGTGTCAGATGAGACTGAAAATTTCAGAATATTCTGAAAAATAGAGCTAATTTGGCGCTTGGCTGGTTTAAACCAGTATATCTCATTTGAATGAATTGGTACAAAAGAATGTCACCTACAAAATTGCAGCTCTATTTCGGTTTAGTACACTTTGAAATTTTCAGTTCTATACAACGAATGGTACTATATTTTTTTAGACATCTAAAGTTGTCTATTTTCCACTAAAAATAGGTGAAATTAACAAATTTTCAGCCGATAATTTTGTACATATGTTTTAGACTTATTGGTGGTGCGGAGATTTTTATAATCTAGAACCAAAACATTTTAAATATCAGAATCCATTATTTTTCAGGAATGGGCCTCAACGGCAACGTCAAAGACATGCTCACCGCTTCCAATGCGAAGAAAGGATTAACGCTGGGCGCAAGCATATATAATAATCCTGTCGGATTAGCTCGTGAACATATTCCCTATGCTGACGCTGCTCTTACTACCTACTAATCAATGGGGAGAATGTTTTCAAGCTGGCTAAAGATTTCGCCGATCAATATATAGATCCGGTGAATCTTGTCAAGAACGTCGTGAAAGATGTTATTGGGCCAGTTGGTAAAGTGGTCATTGGAGTTATCGGTTTCTTCGGTGGCTTTTTTGGCGGACTATTTGGCGGCGGAGGACCATCGATTCCAGATATTCTCAACCCAGTAATTCAAAGAAAGGAGGCTTTTGACAAAATAGTATCTGGTGATATTAAAGGAGGACTAGAGCAGCTCAAAAACTTCGCTGGTACTCAAGAAGAGTATAAGGAGATGATTGACAAGTTTAAAGGTGGGGGGACATGAAAAAAATAATGTTCTCGAAATTTCGTTCAAAGATGCCCCTCGAGGAGTTGAACTTGTGAGGGCGATGATTGAGGGTGCGGCGCCGCTACCGACTGAGCCACGCGGGCAAAGAGAAAGCGCACGCCCGATTGCATACATAAAGGCGAGGACGACAGCTGTACGCAGAGTGACATTACGCGTTGTACACCGTGACGGTAGAATGCATACTCTAGCTACAAAAAAACTACGAAAAATCTCCTTTAAAGGAGGGTAGACAGCAAAAATTTCAAAAATTTCATTTTTACTGAAAAGATATAACTCTGAAGTATAAATATAGCTATGTACTTAAAAACCTGAAAAAAACACTTCAAGGACGAAAAAATGCTCTTTTTTGTCACCCTAATTTCTTCACTAGCTTGCTGCTGCGGCGTCGCTTCATAACGTGAAAAACGCGATGGTCGCCTCTTACACGCGTAGTGTAGTGGGTACGCTCTAGGCTAGTATTCAGGAGGTCAGAGGTTCAATCCCTGCTGGTGTTTTTACTTTTTTCTTCCCTTGTTTCCTTCGGATTGAACTTTTTGAACTCGGAATTTCTGAAGGGCTACCAGCGTGCCGCCGAGGCCTCGCTCCGAGGTACCAAAATCAGTTGAAAATGAAGAAACTTGTTTTATTATGTTAACAAATAAATTATGAAAAAAACTACAATTAATTTTTAGAAAGAGACATAACAATTGAAAGAAAAACCACATAATTAAAACAATCCTCGTGCAGGGCTGGTCGTCGGAAGGTGAAGGAAGCAGTAAAAATGGAGACGTCTCTGAAAACCCTAGTCATAAAACAGTTTTTATTCCTAGAGTAATAACGAGAAGTAATGAGATAAATAGGAACAGTGAAGAAACGGTTATCGAAGAGAAAATCGCTTTTTTCGCATGCCTATAAAAAACACCGGCGACTGGCAAAATAATCGGTCGATAGAACTTTAAATTTACATTAAAAATTCACTTTTATATGGGTTTTATAATAAATAAGAAAAAAGAGCTTTTTTAATGTTGAAGTCGTTAAAAATTGAAAAAAATAAAGTCGGGAAATAAAAAAATAAAATGTTTGCGCGTGGGATTGCGTGCTTTAGGTGCGAACACCGCGACGGCAAAATACACATTCTCTGAAATTTTCCCCGAAATTTTTGCTGTCTGCCCTCCTTTAATGAAGCACAGGATGCGCAAGAAAAACCACAATTTTATGAACAAGATAAAAGAGATGCCGATTGTTGAAGAAGTTGTTGAGAAGCTTGATCCGATTCTTAACTTCGATGATGATGATATGTTGGATAAGCTGAATCCTCTAGATAAGTTCTCGGACAAACTAAAGGATTGGAAAAATAAATTGAAGCCAAAGTTACCGCCAGGTCTTCAGAAGTTGTGGGATGACGTGAAGAGAGGTGAAGATTTGATGAAAAAAGCAGAAGGTCTTCTTGGATTCTCTCTTCCTGGTGGTCTCAATGGGTTCTTAAATGATCCATATGGCTCAAACGAACCATATGGGCCAAAAGAGCTTTATGGTATTAATGGGAAATATGGTCCTGATGGGTTCTTTGGACCAAACTCTCAAATTGGTCCTTATGGGCCTAAAGGTGGGGGGACGTGAAAAAATAATGTTCTCGAAATTCTGTTTAAATATGCCTCTCGAGGAGTTGAACTTGTCGAGGCGAGTATTGAAGGTGCGGGGCCGCTACCGACTGAGCCACGCGGGCGAAACTGGAGCGGGCGCCTGATTGAATACATAAAGGCGAGGACGACCGCAGTACGCAGAGTGACATTAAGCGTTGTACACCGTTACGGTAGAATGCATACTCTGGCCCCAAAAATCCCCCGTAAAATCTCCTGTCCCCCCACCTCTAAAGGCTTATTTGGACTTAATGGGCCTAACGGACTAAATGGAGCTTTTGCCACATCGAAACTTCTAGAGAACACTCCATTTGGAAGTAAGGGAACTCATGGATTGAATGGGATGTTCGGACCCAATGGACCTTATGGACCATTTTGAGATTTGGACCAAGTGGGCCTTTTGGTCCGAACGGACCTTTTGGACCTAACAGCTTAAAAGGACCCAAAGGAGATAATCCATTGAAAGAATAGATACAGAAGCTGTATGATAACAATCTAGGCAAGATTAAGTGTCAGGAGACCATTCAAGAAGTGTACGGGAAGTTTAAAGAAAAGTTTGTGGACTTGTTAAAAGATAATATTCCTGTAAAATTGAAAGATTTGTTTGGTGGAAAGTTGGATAAGCTCAAAAAGACATTGAATAAAGCGAAAGATCTGTTTAAGGCCATTGATGATGCAGTTGAGAAGATTCAGGAACTTCCAAAATCAGATCCGGAGAAAAAGGCAAAAGAGTTGTTCAGAAAAACTAGAAAGGTGAAGAGGGAAAAACTAAACCTTACAAGAGAATTAATGTTCCCCCAAAGAACTGGACAACTTCCACATCTTCCACAACTGGAGCTCCTCAAGGAACTCCGATGCTTATGAGAAGAGCCAAGGATGCTGCTGATAAAGTTTTGACTTGTATTGAAATGCCACCTCATCCGGGACTAGACGCTTTTAACCAGATTAAAGGGCTTCCTGGTCAATTCCAGAGTATTCTGAATCCAGTTTCCGGGATCATGGATTCCATGGATGTGATTCAGAATCAAGAAAATCTGGAGGGAAAAATGAAGAATATGAATGGAATTCTAGATGAGATATTAGGCAAGAAAGATCAAACCTCACTCAATAGATTTGATTTTTTGAAAACTTCAAAGCCTTTCAATGATGCTAGACAGTTTGTGAATGGCATGAAATTGCCGTTTGAGAGTTTACAACAACCGCCAAGTGTCTTTAATATTTTTGAATCTCTAGGAGGTTCTGGGCCAGTTGTTTCAAAAGTTTCTGACTTTTTTGGAGCGATTAAACTAGGGGGAGATGGTTGTTAGAAGGAAGAAATGAAGGATGCAGTTGAAACTCTCGAAGACATAATTGATCTGGCGGATGAAGTTGAAAAAGCAAAAAAGGATAAAGTGATGGATGACCTAGTCAAGTTTTGGAAAGATAGTGTGGAATATGCAAAGGAGTTGAAAAAGGTGGATAAAGCGATGAAGAAGTTTGCAAAGGAAGTGGAGGAATCGGAACCGGATTGGAAGATGTTTAGACAGCTGGATTATATGGAACCCCTTCTGGAAAAATCTATTGCTGGAATTGAGGACTTGGCAGGGCTTAATCAGGTTCATGAGCTTCGGAATGAAGTAGAGACAATTATAAAATCGGAGAAAACGGTCACTGAAGTCATCAAATATGTGAAGGGTCCAACAGAAATAATTATTCTAGATGTCGTCTTTAAAGACTTCAGAAAATCTGCCAAAAATCTAACCCTTATTACTGTTAGAGATGAATGAGACGAATGTGATCAATCAAACCGAATCGCACTTTTCCAATCAGTCTTTGGGAACCAGAGAATTCATTTTTGTATTCATAAAAGCTGCGGAATTGAATTTCACAGAAACTATAAACCTGGAAAGTTATGTGGAGTCTCTGAAACTTTTTTGAGTAATTCGACAAGAGAGAAAAGAGAGGTTCGAGAAGTGATTGAGGCTTATGAGAAGGTTTATCAAGCTACACGAATCGTTAATTGGAATCGAATTCTTATGGGATTCAGAGAGATGCCAGAGGTGGTCATGCAAACCAAAGGAGAGTTTAGTAGGATGAAAGTGGAAGAGGAGCCAGAGGATATTTGGTGAGTTTTGGAATTTTGAGGGGCCAAAAAGGGGAATCGAAAGTTCTGTTTTAGGAAAAATTTTTTGAATAAACCCCATTTTTTTTCTGAGATTCTGAGATTCTGAGATTCTGAGATTCTGAGATTCTGAGATTCTGAGATTCTGAGATTCTGAGATTCTGAGATTCTGTGATTCTGAGATTCTGAGATTCTGAGATTCTGAGATTCTGAGATTCTGAGATTCTGAGATTCTGTGTTTCTGAGATTCTGAGATTCTGAGATTCTGAGATTCTGAGTTTCTGAGATTTTGAGATTCTGAGATTCTCAAATTCTGAGATACTTAATGTCTGAGTTTCTGATTGTGAGATCCAAGCTTAGAAATTCCTGAAAGTTCAAACTTTTGGAAGAAAACATATTCAGGTGGATCATCTGGCTGATCATTGGAATCGCTTGCTCCTTGGCCTGCTCTTCTTGCTTCATCATTCTATTCCTCTGGTACAGAAACAGAAGAGACGACGACGGAACACGTAAGCTTCTCCCACATTCCATAAGCTCCGCCCCTTTTTCCAGCCTACATTTGTCCTGACGAGCTTGGAAGTACTCGTATGTCCAGATGCAAGATGCTCGTCTCCCAATGAACGCAATGGATTCCAAGGGTCAAACTGGTTTGTATAAAGCAGTTTTGGCGAAGAAATGGTACAGAGTAAAGGATCTTTTGGAAAATGGAGCACTGGTTGATGCGACATGTGGACCGTATCTCAGAACTGCACTATTTGAATTGGTACTGATGAAAGATAAAGAACATGCGAAGGACTTTCTGGATGCTGGAGCTTATATTTTACAACCGGATGTGGCTGGATATTATCCTGAACAATATGCAGATGAGGGTGGATTCATGTTACTGTTTGATGGATATTCCAAAGAGAATCAGAGGAAACGTGAGTGGCTACGACCGTAAAATCTTCAACCGAAGAGTTCCTAAGTTTGAGCTCAATTATCTCAATTCCTATGCAAGATATCAAAAAGTTTTCAACTAAAGAAAGTTTCTGATATTATGATAAATAATTGATCAGTTGACAACTTTTTGATATCTTCAATAGGAACCGAGATAATTGAGCTTGAGCGCACGTATCGAACATTTACGGTATTTGTCAGTAGAGCGCAAATGCTAATTTTACAGGAGTCATCCCTCCCAACACGCCAAGACCATATAAAATTCTAGTGGTTGACAAAGATTACATCCCTAGTAATGAACGGAAAAATCTGCCCAAGAGAATCAGAAAAAAGGTATTTGTTTGGGATTTTTTACTTTTGTAACCTCTCAATTTTCCAGATCACATGGGGATACAATGAGTCTATGGATTTGAATAAGTTCACTCATATTGTGGTCCCTCAGAAATATAGCAAAAAAGAGAACATCTTGACATTGGAAGACGATGATTTGTTCATTTGGAAATGTGTTGCAAGGTAAGAGATACTGTAAGTTGGATTTTTGAATTTTTTGGAATTTTCTGTTTTTTTTTCTTTTTCTGAGATTCTGAGATTTTGAGATTCTGAGATTCTGAGATTCTGAGATTCTGAGATTCTGAGATTCTGAGATTCTGAGATTCTGAGATTCTGAGATTCTGAGATTCTGAGATTCTGAGATTCTGAGGTTCTGAGATTCTGAGATTCTGAGATTCTGAAATTCTGAGATTCTGAGATTCTGAGATTCTGAGATTCTGAGATTCTGAGATTCTGAGATTCTGAGATTCTGAGATTCTGAGATTCTGAGATTCTGAGATTCTGAGATTCTGAGATTCTGAGATTCTGAGATTCTGAGATTCTGAGATTCTGAGATTCTGAGATTCTGAGATTCTGAGATTCTGAGATTCTGAGGTTCTGAGATTCTGAGATTCTGAGATTCTGAGATTCTGAGATTCTGAGATTCTGAGATTCTGAGATTCTGAGATTCTGAGATTCTGAGATTCTGAGATTCTGAGATTCAAAAATTCTGAAATTTTGAAGTTCTGAAATTTTTATAGATCAAGCCAGCTTGGAAAACGGAAACCGAGAAGTACTCTTTGGCTCCGTTCCGATTTGTTTTGGAGTGCATTGCACGTTATCAAATTTTGCCAATTGGAAGTACAGTAATCCAGATGAACGAGGAAAATGGAGCAGATGGGGTAGAAGGCACGAAATCAAAAGAAGCGGTGAATGTTCCAACGACGCCGACTAACGTCGAACCCACACCTTGAACTCTCTCAATATTTCGATAATTAATAAATTAAGAATTTCAATTATGAGAACCTTATGATCGGTGTGTTATATTTTTGACTAGAAATTCAGGGTTAAATTCTGAGTATTTCAAGAACAATTTTTGAAATTTCGGAATCTCAGAATTCTTGAACTTTTGGAACTTTTGGAATCTATCTTCAAACCTGTGAATTTCAGAATATTTTTTCAGTCTCCCATCTCCTCCCCTACTCTTACGCCATAATTCGATTAACTCTCCCACAATAAAACCCACCCCTCTCCTCTGAAAATTCATTTTTCTGAAAATGAAAATTCCTTTCTTTTTTCTATTCATCGGGATAGGAGCATATACAGGCCCTTTGCCACCTTCCGAAGCTTTATCTCAAGCATTTTTCGATGGATTCATGGAAGCAGTCAATGAGAACAATCAGACTGCAATCAAAAATCGTTTTGCGCCAAGCTTTTTGAATGATGGTGAGTCTTTTTTGGGTTTATAGGGACTCAGAATTTCAAAATCTCAGAATTCCAGAATCTTATTAGGTTGGTACAAAAGCAATGCGCGTTTTTGATGTACTTTATTTTTATTGTAAAAATGAAACAAAAGGACATCAATCGGGAACATACTTTCCATCATTATCGACCACTCTCTGCCAACGCATGGGCGAAAATTCGATGCCTCTCGTGAAGAACCTCACTGGCTGTGACTCGAAGTAGTTCGTTACCCAGATGTTCACTTTTCCCCCATTCTTGAACGTTTTCTCAAAGAGATGATGCTGCATTGGCCTGAGCAAGTCATAGTCGGATAGTGCGAAATTTGGGCTACAAGGCGACTGTAAAAGCACTTCCCAGTCTATCTTCAAAAACATTTTTTAGTGATTTTTGCGGTGTGTGGTCGAGAGTTGTCGTGAACCAGAAACTTCGCTGATGAGCCCACTCCTTGCCGTTTGAGCACCTGATCCACCCGGTTCAGCTGACCTTTATCACAATTGGTAGTCACTATTTGACCATGCTTTAGAAATTCAAAACACCTCAGGCCTCGCAAATTCCACCAGACACAGAACATATCCTTTTCCCCGTGCATGTTCGGTTTTGGTGTCGGTTTCGGTGATTCGTCATGATTCAGTCACTGCTTTTTCTATCCAAAGCACTCGCATTGAGTCCATCTCTCATCCAAAATCAAAATTAGATCCAATAAACCAAGACTTTTTAAACGGCGCAAGATAAAACCGGCCACCTCGATGCGCTTTATCTTGTTATCGTCAGAAAGTTCGTGTGACACGTTTTTTCTGCATCTGTTTGCTTTCCAGAATTGTGATTAAGGTGCGATTAGACTGTTCTGATAAGCAGCTAGTTGTTTGGCACGGGTCCAGTTCGCTTGCTGATCTCAAGAAATCGTTGACAACGCTTTTTAGACGAAACTGCGTGTTTAGCCTTCCACGCTTTCTTCGACGCTTCTGGAGCGTCGAAACCAGCGTCGATATTAATTTTTGGATAAAGCATCTTCTTAAAATACTGACGGAAAAAGGCGATGTGCTTCGGCGGCGGCTTTTCCGTTTTTGAATTCATGCGAAAATAAGACTCGAAAACGAACATTTTGATTGGCCATCTTCTTGAAAGTTTTTCCCTATTCAAAAATTGATTCGAACAGTGAAGTAACAATAAAAAACAAAGTTAAAGACATGTTATTTGAAATAAAGAAATAATTAAGCCGAACAACCTATTCACAGGCGAAATATAAAACACCAAACATAGCGCGCATTACTTTTTTACCAACCTAATAAAAACTTTTAAAGGTGGGGGGACAGGAGATTTTACGGGGGATTTTTGTAGCTAGAGTATGCATTCTACCGTCCCGGTGAACAACGCTTAATGTCACTCTGCGTACAGCTGTCGTCCTCGCCTTTATGTATGCAAACGGGCGTGCGCTTTCTCTTTGCCCGCGTGGCTCAGTCGGTAGCGGCGCCGAACCCTCAATCATCGCCTTCACAAGTTCAACTCCTCGAGGGGCAACTTCATTTTTTCCAGGTGTAACCAAAAAAATATACGAAAACATCGTTGAAGATCTCTCCAACTACACTTATTCCATCGAACACGCTTTCTATGACATCTTCGAACAACCCAGAAAGAACACATGGATTCTGAACACTACCGTTCATTTCCGTGGACCCGCGCCGACGTACCACCGGAAAAACTATCAGTTTGCAATTGAAAACCAAAATAATGTGGAGACATTAGAACCTGGAACTTTATATTCTGGAATTTTCAGAATCCTCAATTGTACCCTGATGCATGGCAAATCAAAGCAGTGGTTCCAATCGTTTACCATCGAAAACATTTTGTACAGAATCAGGTGACGCCTGAAATGATTCTAGGGAATATGCTTTCCGAATTTTTGAATTGTGTGAATACAGGAGACATTAATCGACTTCAAGGAATGATAGAAATGCATGGTAATATTCTATAACGAATTTTGTAATTTGGAATATTCCAGAAGTGGTCAGTCCGACTGGAATGCAACAATTGAGAGATATCGTCGGTGGGAATCGATTCGAAGTTCGTTCCTATCGAATCGTAAAGTCCGGAGAGATTTCTTCTACAGTAATCTTCACTAATCCAAGTACTCAACTAGCGAATTTATTCTGGTTTGTGTTCAAGAGTCAGGATGAGCAGAATCTGTATTTTTGGAAAATTACGGACATGAAACTGATGTATGGGGGTTATGGGCCACCGAGGGATTTTGTTGGAGGATTCGGATGGATTGATGATAATCACTGATTGATTAAAACTTTGAAGAAATAAAAAATGTTGTATTTTAGTTATATTCTTCCGAAAACAATTTTTTGGGGGAACATTTGGGAAGATTGAAAAGGCTGAGCCGATTTTTGTCGCGGGTTCGAGCCCCGCATTGGTCAATTGATAAAATGTCGGTGATAAAGTATGAAACATTTTATCAGTTGACAAGTTTTTGATATCTTTTACAGAAATTGAGATGATTGAGCTCAAAGAGCGAGTATAGGGAATGGTGTTCCATTTGGAAGAATACGGTATTTTGTATTTTTCAAACTTCTGAAAAAAGTGGTTTAGTTTTCTAAACTTTTCCTTTTTTTTCCAAAGTTTGGGAACTTAAAATTTTATAAATTTCAAAAAAAAATTCCCATATTCCAAAAGTTTCAGAATTTCAAAAGTTCCGAATTTTCAAAAACTCCAAAAATTCATGAATTCCAAAACTTTGAAAATTTCAGAAGTTCCAAAATTTCAAAACCGCATTTTGGCAGCTTTTCTCTAATAAATTTCTTGTCTATCTTTGAGCTCAATCATCTCGGTTCTTATGAGAGATATCGAAATAAACATTTCATTAGTTGACAAGTTTTTTAAAGGTGGGGGGACATGAAAAAATAATGTTCCCGAAATTCTGTTTAAATATGCCCCTCAAGGAGTTGAACTTGTCGAGGCGAGTATTGAAGGTGCGGCGCCGCTACTGACTGAGCCACGCGGGCGAAACTGGAGCGGGCGCCCGATTGCATACATAAAGGCGAGGACGACCGCAGTACGCAGAGTGACATTAAGCGTTGTACACCGTTACGGTAGAATGCATACTCTGGCCCCAAAAATCCCCCGTAAAATCTCCTGTCCCCCCACCTTTAAATATCTCTTATAGGAGCCGCGATAATGCACTTCAAACTGCAGCTACCGTAAAACCTAAAAGACAGCTCCCATATTGTCAAGTTTGAACCTAATTATTTCGGCTTCTGTAACAGATACCAAAAACCTGTCAACTGATAAAATATTTATCATAATATCACCAATATTTTCTATTTTATAAATCCTTGATATCTCTTATAGGAACCGAGATATTCGAGCTCAAATGGCAACTATAGGGTGGCATTCATTCTCCCTATTTCCGCCCGCAATCTCAATAATTATTCATCGCCCATGTCTTCTCTCATGCCATTGTTCCGTTATCTCATCGAATATGTCCTTATGATGTCTTCCCAAATAACTCTCTCCTCTTTTTCCCCTATTTTCTCACACATTCTTATCATCCGCGTCCATCGGAGATGAAGAGATCCACCTTGGCGTCCTTGTTCTGCCTAAAAAAGCCAAGTTTTTTTCGTATGTTACGCAACATAATCCACCCGACGTCTACGACTATAGAAAACATACAAAAAGTACCAGTTTTCGATCTGATAACATTACAGATTTCTCTAGATTTCTTCCTGGGGCAACAAAAAGAACAGAACAACGAACTTGTAATACAATCGTTCCACTTACTGTACTTTCTTCACTATTTATTCGAATACAAATCAATCATTTTATCAGTCTCCAGTCACACCCTTTGCGGTTTCTCCTTATCAGTTACATAGAGAAAAAAATGATAGTGGAATGAGGAACGGATTTACAAGGACACACAGAGGGTGAAAGTGATCGTTTGTTTGTTAATAAAATTGTGTAATGCAGGTGATACGGTGATAAAAATGTGTCTTGTACCTTGGACAAGTTGAAGCCACTAGAAGCTTACCTTAAACACTCTAATAGAAGGTCACCCAACTTTGAGCTCATATATCTCGGTTGCTAAAAAAGATATCAAAAAGTGGTCAACTGATAAAACACGTTTGATGTTATGATAAACAATTTATCAGTTGACAACTTTTTGCTACCTTTGACAGTAACCGAGATATATAGGATCAAAGTTAGGAACCCTTCTATTACAGGTTTTACAGTTATGACAAAATGAGAGTTTTAATTTTGTAGTTTACAAATTACAAACGATTTTTAAATAATAAAAACTTTATTTTTATAAAATTTTTATAAAATTTCTAAAAATTCATCTCCAGTTTCTGACTTCCACTTCCTCCTTTTACATGCAATTCAACAACTGCCCATTTCTCTCTTCCCTCTCTCCGGCAGTGACGGAATTCCCCCTCCCTCCTATACGCCCTCCACTTCTCATGCTATCGCCGCCCGGTTAGCTCAGTCGGTAGAGCACCAGACTCTTAATCTGGTTGTCGCGGGTTCGAGCCCCGCATTGGGCTCAGATTTTTTGCTTTTTTTGATGACTTCTCCCATTCGTCAAAGTTTATAATTGCATTGAAGGAGAAGGCCACCACGCGCCTCATTGGCTCAGTGGCAGAGCGTCTGTCTAGTAAACAGAAGGTCGCTGGTTCGATTCCAGCATGAGGCACCGAAATTTTTTGAAGCTTTTTCTTGCAACCCGTGCCAGAAGACATAATCATTTTTCTCGTCCTTGATTAACGGAGAAGCGAGGCTTACGTCGTAAAATTCAGGTTTTCAGGTGTCTTCTCAAATCTCGTCTCTCGACAGCACCTCAATCTGCATAAAACTGTCAAGGCTGATTAGATCATATCGTGTTAGTGTGGGCGAGATATCTGTATTTAAATTTTCTTTTTGATGATGACTATGGTCTTGTTACAAAATTTATAGAGAATTTGAGATTTCTGGTCTCGTACTATGATAGAAAATTATTAAGTTACACATTGGTTTCTGATGATTCAGAAGGAGTTAGAAGGAATCGGAAGCTTGTAAAGTTCGGTTCAAAGACTTCAAAAGACTAACCCCAATGTTCATGATCCTCAAAATGTGATTGTTCCACTCGTGTCCTTCTTCTTCCGTTCACCCCCACTACTCTCTTCTCCATTCATCATTTCGTCCCCTCCATCGGATTTGTCGGCATCGCAATATACGCAAGGGTGATTATCATCATTAGTTGCTTTTTTATGATTATTATTATGACGATCCTGACATAGGCCAGATGTGACGTCCATAAAAAAGGGTGGATCAGGGGGAGAAAGTGAATAAGGAAAAGGAAATGGAAGTGAAAGGGGGAGGAGGAGAGTGGACCATGTGATGGTCATTACATTGGATTTTATAATATAGTTAGATTTGAAATTCTTATTTAAGATTTACTGTGATTTCCATGATCTAGGTTTTCGTTTGAAAAGTTGTGTTAGCCAAGATTAAAAGATGTAATTTTACCCTTTAAATGGTCTAAAAGAAGCCTTTTATACGAGCACTTGGATCTCAATTATCTCGATTGCCATGAAAGCAATCTAAAATTGTTCAACTAATAAAATATTGGCCATGTTATCATAAATCTTTTATCAATTGGCCACTTTTCAATGTCTTTTATAGGAACCGAGATAAATTGGCTCAAAGTTACAAGTTAGGGTGGACTTCTATTTAAGCAGCTTATTTTTCTTGTGCCTGTCGTATCTCTGTTCCAATGAAAGAAAACAAAAAGTTATCAACTAATAAAATGTTGGCGATAATATGATAAATATTTTATCACTATACAGATTTTTGATACCTCTTCCGGAAACCGACATAATTGAGGTTAAAGGTAGAGAGGTGTTAAGATATCAAAAAGTTGCCATGTGCCGCAAATGACAACGTTTTGCTATCTACAAAGTCTCTGACCATAAACAAAGTTTTTTCATAGCTTGTCTATAAAAACTTAATGGAAAGTTAAATTTGTAGGACATATAGGCAGAGCTACGCGGTCGGGAAAGCGGCCGATGACCGTATGGAAGCGGTGCAATATTAGTACTCACCTTATCTCTGTTCCTGTGAAGGATAACAAAAAAGTGTCAGATGATAAAATATTGATGTTGTTATAGCAAACATTTTATCAATTGACAACTTTTTGAGATCTTTAACAGGAATCGAGATAATTGAGCTCAAAGATAGCGAGCTTCTAGGCTACGCGATGTCGGCCGACGACCATATGACAGGAAGAAATCCCTGACAACATTTTTTTGTATATTTTCTTTGATCCCTGTGGGGTTGTGTGTCTATTCCACAAAAGTGTCCTCATGCATATCATCATCGCCTCCTCCTCGTTCATGGATCAAATCACTCTTCTTCTATTTCTTTTTCATCTCCTTCACTACCTGAGACTTCTCATTTTCCTTTTCCTCTCGTATAATACATACGAGACTTCTTGGTGGGGGGCGACTAGCTTCTTCTTCTTCTTGAAAAGAACAAGCTTCTGACGCCACGCCCCTTCAGTAGAGGATCAGAGAGAAGGCGTGGGAGAACAAGAAGAAGCGTTTTTGGTTTCCTTCTCTCTTTTTTGCTGATGACTATATCACCATTATGATCGTTTCATCACCTTAACTAGAAGAGACTCCGCCCACTTCTTCTGACACTCATTTGCATTCTTTTTCCTCCCATTTAACAACTATTTACACTACCACATTCCTTTTACTAATTGGCTTCTGTTATTAGGTGTAGCTTTATGGTTTGTTAAGAGAAAATGAACAAATTTGCATTCTATTGTTTCATTTGGAATTTTTCTCAATAGGTCCAGTAGGTACTACCAGTTTCTCAAGGTTTAAGAAGTTTTCCATAAAAGGAACTGATTGTTTTTATTTTTCATGAAAGAACTTTTTAGATTTTCTAGAAGAAATCGGGTTTTTTTTTGTTAAATTTGCCTTGAAGCCCACCATATATGTTCACGTTAAGCTCAATTATCTCGGCTCCCATAAGATTTATTGAAAATCAGTCAACTGATTAAATGTTTATCATAATATCACCTACATTTTTTCAGTTGAAAGATTTTTGATATCTCTCCCAGGAACCGAGATAATTGAGCTCAAGGTGCACATTATTTTTTTTGTTTGCGAAAAAAAAAGTCGTCGTTGATAAAAGAAATTTATCACAAAATGTTTGATTTTTTGAGATTTTTTTAATGTTTTTTTTTAATTAATTGTATATTTTAAAGAAAATTTTCATCCATCTTTAGCCTCTGAGTTTTTGAATTTTAAATTTTTTTTTCGAGTTTTTGAAGTTTTTGAAATTTTGGAGTTTTTGAAAAAATTTTGAAATAGCTGAGATTCAGAGATTCAGAGATTCTGAGATTCTGAGGTTCTGAGATTCTGAGGTTCTGAGATTCTGAGATTCTGAGATTCTGAGATTCTGAGATTCTGAGATTCTGAGATTCTGAGATTCTGAGATTCTGAGATTCTGAGATTCTGAGATTCTGAGATTCTGAGATTCTGAGATTCTGAGATTCTGAGATTCTGAGATTCTGAGATTCTGAGATTCTGAGATTCTGAGATTCTGAGATTCTGAGATTCTGAGATTCTGAAATTCTGAAATTCTGAGATTCTGAGATTCTGAGATTCTGAGATTCTGAGATTCTGAGATTCTGAGATTCTGAGATTCCGAAATTGTAAAATTCTGAAATTCTGAGATTCTGAGATTCTGAGATTCTGAGATTCTGAGATTCTGAAATTCTGAGATTCTGAGATTCTGAGATTCTGTGATTCCGAAATTGTAAAATTCTGAGATTCTGAGATTCTAAGTGCAAATTTTGAGCAAATTCTCAACCGTTGTCTGAAAAACCTTCCCTTGTTAGAAAATTAAGAAAACAAAAAACTCTGAAATAATGAGATTTTGAAATTCTAAAATGCTAAAAATCCGAATTTCGAAAATTTGAAAATACATCAACTGAAAAGTTTCTAGAATCTTTTAAACATCCAAAATTATACAAATCCAAAATTTCTAGAAATCCCAAATTCAAAAATTCTGAAATTCTAAAATTCTAAAATTTGAAAGTTCGAAACTTCTGAGGTTCTAAACATTCTAAAATTTCAGAACCTCTGTATTTAATTTTTCAACCTTTATTCAAATACCATTTTCTTTTTTTATATCCAAAATAATCAAAATTCATAATTTATATTTTTCAGGACATCGACAATTTGTGACCTGGAAACTTCAAAAAAGGGAAATGAAGAAACCTTCACATATACTGCTGCTATGCTTATTAGCATTTAGTACATTTCATGGTAAGTGTTACCGTAAAACCTGTAATAGAAGGGCTCCTGAATTGTCACTTTTGAGCTCAAATATCTCAGCTCCTATGCAAGATATCAAAAATGTGTAAATTGATAAAATTTTTTGAATATTATGGTAAACAATTTATTAGTGGACAACTTTCAGATATTTCAAAAGGGAACCGAGATAAATTAGGTCAAAGTTAGGGACCCTTCTATTACAGGTTTTACAAATTTTTTTCTTAAATCTTTCTTTTTGGCGCCTTTTTTAAATCTCATTTTTGCAAAAATGTTCCTTCAAGTGTTCTATTTCGTTTTGAAACACTTGTCTCCTCCTTTCGACCACTCGACCGATACATTTTCCCCTTTTTTGTCGTTTTGTAATTCTCTTTTTGAATCGAATCGGAAGCCGAGACCAAGAAGAAATAGTATAAAAAGAGGAGAGGGATTAGAGAAAAAGGATATTTCCCAAAAAGATCGAAAAGGCTAAAGGGCTTAGAGAAAATCGGCTAGGTAGGGGTACATTGCCGCTAATTGATAAGGCGACATTTATCAATTTGATTTATTTATGAGTCTGGTTTTTGATTGGCGGGCATGGTGGCCTAGAAATTTCAAAATTGATTTTCTAGGCCATGAAAGACAAATAAATGGAAAATTCCAATCCATCCAATAAAGTTGTTGCGTAAATGTCTCCTAACCGGAATACCTCAAAATGTTCGAAAAGAGACAAGGCCTTGAAAAAGACGTTTTCGTGTACTTTCACGGAATATATATGTTGCCATATAGATTTTTGTCACTGATAAGCCGGCCTGGGAGGCAGGTGATAAGGATCTGCGGGTTTTTGAACAGATAAATTAGGGGTTTGGAGGGAGGAAAACTTGGGCATGATTTTATTGGAGATTTTTTTTTGGTATTTATAAAAATGGGGAATTCTGAAATTATGAAATTCGGAAATACTGCTCATCTAACGAATTTCGAATTTCGATAAGCTATAAAAACTAGATTATGTTTAATTTCAGTCACCCACGCTGAGGAAGAAAATGAGCTAGATGCATCTGGAGAGGGACCACCAGGCACTTCAGGTGACTCAGCTCCGGGAGCAGTTGGACCAGCCACAGAAGAGACTAAAACAGAGGATGATGCTAATGTGGAGTGAGTTTTTGTTTCAACTTTTTTGGCCATTGACTAAATTCTTTGATAGAATGACACTTGCTATTTGAGCTCAATTATCTCAATTTCTATACAAGATATCACAATTCTGTCAGATAATAAATTGTTGATGATATCATGATAAACAATTTATCAGTTAACAAATTTTAGATAGCGGTTGTAGGAACGGAGATAATTGACTTGCAAGCTACGATATGACTATTGCAAAGTTTAAACTGAAATTGACAGTTGTTGTCGTAGCTACCGTATTTGTAGAAGCCGTTGCACTTCGAGCTCCATCATCTGGGTTCTTATGAGAGATATCCATAAAAAATGTTGGTGATGTTATGATAAAAAGTTTATCAGTTGAAGATTTTTTGATATCTCTCATAGAAATTAAGATAATTGAGCTACAAGTTCCTAGCATAAACGCTTTTACGGAAGCCTACCGAATGCGCACACTCTGAGCTCATTTATCTTGGTTCCTATAAGAGATGTCAAAAATTTGTCAATTGTCCAAACGTTTACTATATTGTCACCAGCATTTTATCAGTTGAAAGTTTTTTGATATCTTTTAAAGGAACCGAGATAATTGATCTACAAGATTCGAACTGAAAATGACAAGTATTACTGTACCTACTACCTACCTACTAGCTACCGCTAACTACCGCTTCAAATTTACTAGCTACCGCTTCAAACTCTCAAGATTTAACCAAACAAAACTTCCAGCAAATCCTGCAAAGATCGTCACGATTTGTGCAAATTCTGGTCATCAATCGGCGAGTGTAATACCAACAAAAATTGGATGGAAGACCATTGTCCAGTGTCTTGTGATGTCTGCAACGGAGTCACCACTTGTATCGATAGACATCGTCTGTGCGGATTCTGGGCGACGATTCGGGAGTGTGAAACTAATGCGGTTTGGATGTTATCAAACTGTCCAAAGGCTTGTAAAGCGTGCAAAGGAAGATCAGTGACTCTAGGAGGAACTGGTCCAGGGGGAACTTTCAAGGAAGACGATTGCACTTTTATTACCACCAATGAGGATACATCGATTAGAAAGGTACAGTACCTTTTCAGCTATTTAACCATTTTCCAAAATAATCCAAAGTTTTTCCGTTCTAGACATTATCCATCCGTGACGTCCGTGATTCCAATGCAAACTTCAATTGTGCTCCAACTCAAGAAACTCCAAACTGCAATAGAAATCTTTGTTATCACTTGAGATATCGCTCATTCGATGGAACTTGCAATAACCTAGAACGCCCGATGATTGGATCAGCGTTCACCGCTTTGATGAGATTGAAGAAGCCACTCTATGATAATGGATTGAACGCTCCAACTTGTAAGAATTTAAACTTTTAAGATTTTTAGCGGCAAATTCAAATTTCTAAATTCCAGCATCATTCCTCCGAAGCAGGCCTTCCGCTCGTGACGCCTCCAGACTCCTCTTATCGTCGTCTACTCAAATCCAACATCATTCCAATGCTCTTCTGATGCAATGGGGACAATTTATTGCTCATGACTTGGCCAAGACGACAATGCTCAACAATCAAGAATGCGCTGCCTGCACATCTAACAAGGGAAGATGCACCTCGGTTTTCTTGTCGAGATCTGATCCGACGTAAGTGATTTTGTTTACTCAAAATTAAGATTTTGGTCAGTCGAAAATCGTGACCGTCGACCGACCTCTCGAATTCGTGCTTTTGCGCGTCGCGTGTTTGCATACGCAGCATTGTGTGATTCACAAAATCAAAATTGTGTAGTGTGTCGTAAAATAAGATGCCGCGTACGCAAACACTCTCTGGCACGTCGATGCGCAAATGAGATGAGATTCTGAGATTCTGAGATTCTGAGATTCTGAGATTCTGAGATTCTGAGATTCTGAGATTCTGAGATTCTTTTTTTAATATTTCTGAGGTTCTGAAAATGTTTTGAAATTTCAAATTTCGAAACTTTGGAAATTTCTAATTTTTTCGAATTTATCGGAATTTTTGAAAATTCGGAATTTCAAACTTTTGAAAATTCAGAAAGAGATTCTGAGATTCTGAGATTCTGAGATTCTGAGATTCTGAGATTCTGAGATTCTGAGATTCTGAGATTCTGAGATTCTGAGATTCTGCGATTCTGAGATTCTGAGATTCTGAGATTCTGAGATTCTGAGATTCTGAGATTCTTAGATTTTTCTAAAATTCTTCAAATTTTCTTTCAGTTTCGGCCGTTTCATGTGCTTGCCAGTTGCCAGATCCACCCCGGTCTGTGGTACCGGAGTCACCAATTTCAGAGAGCAATTTAATGAGAACACCGCTTTTATTGATGGGTCAATGGTAATTTGGAAAATGACTCAAACTAAAAAATTCGAAAATTTCAGATCTATGGAAGCAGTGATAGGGATCAATTCCTATTCCGTCAGGGAGCCTTCTTGAAGACCAAATTGATCAACAACCGAGTTTTTCCACCAGTTGGTAAGAGATTCAAAAAAAACTTCTATTTCGGTCGGTCGATCGGCTAAATATTCCGACCAAATGGAAGTTTTGATTTGAAACACATCTCAAGTACAAACCTTGTAAACTTTCAGACAAGAACAACAATGTGGTTGCTGGAGATGATCGTGCCAACATTTTTGTCGGATTGGCTTCTCTTCATGTTTTGTACTTGAGACAACATAACAGGTACTGTATTTTTCTGAAAAATTTAAAGTTTCTGTTTCTAAATTCCAGAATAAATTTCCGAATTTTCGAATTTCCGAAATTTTGAATCTCCCAATTTTAGATTTTCCGTTTTCCTTATTTTAAACTTTTGAAAATCTAAATTTTCGAATTTCTAGACCTCTAGATATCTAGATATCTTGATTTTTGAACTTTGGAAATTTTGAATTTTCGAGATGCTGGGGTAATGCAATTTTAGATTTTGAAACACTAAGATTTTGAATTTCTGAGATTCCTAAAATTCCTAATTTCTGAATTTCTGAATTTCTGAATTTCTGAATTTTTGAATTTCTGAATTTTTGAATTTCTGAATTTCTGAATTTCTGAATTTTTGAATTTTTGAATTCCTGAATTTCTGAATTTCTGAATTTCTGAATTTCTGAATTTCTGAATTTCTGAATTTCTGAATTTCTGAATTTCTGAATTTCTGAATTTCTGAATTTCTGAATTTCTGAATTTCTGAATTTCTGAATTTCTGAATTTCTGAATTTCTGAATTTCTGAATTTCTGAATTTCTGAATTTCTGAATTTCTGAATTTCTGAATTTCTGAATTTCTGAATTTCTGAATTTCTGAATTTCTGAATTTCTGAATTTCTGAATTTCTGAATTTCTGAATTTCTGGATTTCTGAATTTCTGAATTTCTGAATTTCTGAATTTCTGAATTTCTGAATTTCTGAATTTCTGAATTTCTGAATTTCTGAATTTCTGAATTTCTGAATTTCTGAATTTCTGAATTTCTAAATTTCTGAATTTATTAATTTCTTAATTTCTTAATTTCTTAATTTCTTAATTTCTTAATTTCTTAATTTCTTGATTTCTTAATTTCTTAATTTCTTAATTTCTTAATTTCTGAATTTCTTAATTCCGAAATTCCGAAAGGCTGAATTTAAATATAGCCCCCACCCCAATTCATGTATAGCCCCCCAAAATGAACCATAGTAGAGCCCCCCACCTCCAACAATCTAGACACTTGCGCAGTTCAAAAAAAGCCCGCCAAATCAAATATAGACCCCCACTTTTAAATGGCCCATTCCAATTCAATAAAAGCCCCCATCCATTCAGTTATAGACCCCCACTTTTGCGTAGTTTGTGGTGTGTGAAGGGTACCGTAACCGTCATGATGCAAATTTTGAGCTTTTTTAAAAAAAATTTCTGTGATTTTTTCGGAATTTGTGTCATTTTTCACCATTTTTCCTTGTTTCTTGGGAACTTTTTCTGAAAAATACTTTTCAGCTATGTATATCTTATCAGAACTTCCAAAATTAAAACCTTCTAAAATTCAGGCTTAGGCCAAAAAATGGTGGGGACCTATTTTTTAATTGGTGGGGGTCTAAAATTGAATGGGTGTGGGGCTATTTTTGAATTGGTGGGGGGGGGCTATTTTTGAAT